GCTTCGTATCTTAGGTTTTAGTGGTTCAGTAGCGCTGCCTCCTTTTGGTTTTAGTTTTAGTAACCCTGGTGCAGTCTGCAGCAGTTTCTTTTGCTGCTCGAAGCGATGCGGGAACCAGAACCCTCTGACCTTAGTCCCGTAGCAGGGTACCTTTAATACTTAGCCTTCGTATCTTGGTTTTTAGGGTTTGTCTTAGTCGTCCTTACTTTAATCTAGGTCTCTCGCAGTCTGCGGCAGACGTCTCACAGCCCGAAAGTTTGAAACATCGCGGTGACCAATCCTCGGCCCTTTAGTCTTTCTGGGTGGTTCACGTACTTATTTCTAGGTCTTATTTACCTTCTACAGCCCCTCTCCATAGGGTCCGCGCAGTTTCTCGTGTTTTGGCCCTCCGCCCTGAGTGTTTTACGGGTTGTTATTCGGAGTTGACCTTACTTTGTGCAGGTTTTGCTTCCGGGTGTTGTTACAGGGCCAGGACATCAGATCTTGAAAGATCTCGTACAGAGTCTTGGTGTTTCTTCGACGCCGGGCTCGACAGGGGCTTAGGCCGGCGCTCAAGGCCCGATGGGCCGCACATGTCATGGGTCCCTGAAAACATCATGAGTTATGAGTTTAGGGCTTCTTTTGAAGAGAAGTGGCTTCGTGTTCTGTGTTTTGGCATTACGGGGATTAGGGTTTAGGGTTGTAGCCGTGAGCACTAGAAACCTGAGCAACTAGGCCACTCAACTAACACTCAACCCGAAATTAAACCCTGCGCAGGCCACTACGGCAGCATCCACGGTACCTTTCAGGTGGTTCTTTGCCGCTTTGGCCGTATTGGCTGCTCGGCACAGGCTTAGTTTAGGGTGCAGGGTTTAATTCTGGCTTCTGGGCCACCGTTTAGGGTTTAGGCTAAAACCGTTAATCAAGCGTAATTTCGTGGAAGGGTTTGCAGCCTTGCATGGCCGTGGCGATTCCCAAAGTTCACCTCACAAGCGTGAGCCTGAACCGGTCTATTTTGGGATTTGGGTCCTGTGGCGGCTGAGGGTTTGAACTAGAGCTCTCCATTTTAACGCCTCAGGCCCTGACTATCAAGGCTGTATACCCTAAACCCTACAAAAACCTGAACCCTCATGGGCAAATGGGACCTGTAGCATGCTTTCCTACAAGGCCATCTTGGCCCACTGACTCAGCCGAGGAGTCGTCAATCGACCCTAAACGCTTTAAGCCCTGAAGCTCTAAGATTTTGATTCCCCCACTTGGAGGTTTATGGGTAGTTATAAGTGGGGTTACAAGTAAGGTAACTAAAGTTAGAACCCATATTAGGGGGCTTATAGCCCCACTATAACTACCCATGAGCCTCCAAGCAAACTACAACTCAAGAGTCCTTGGCGCATCCTGAAGGAGAAAAGCATATAAGAGCGTAACCAGAAAACCTGAAAAAAATCTGCTTATCGATAGACATCGTCTGGCAGTGTCCGAGTGGCGAAAGCGTAATAGTAGAGCCTAAAAGCTTGCTTGCTGAAGCCCTTCTTTATCCTCGCCTTTAGCTCATGTCTCCGTGCTTGGAGGCCCTAGAGCCTGCATCCCAACCGCTAAGAAACCCGCCCTGAGCTCTGACTAAAGACGTTCCTCTTGGTCCCCCGGCCCCCCATACAAAACTCTTCTGCTTGTACCAAGGCATTTAAGAGCCTTGCAGTACGTAGTGAAACCTGAGAAACCATGACCTATGGCTCCAGGAGTGCCAAGCCCATACACTCTGAACACTTTAGCCTTAAACCTTTTTGCCACACCCTACGGCCCTGACAACCTAAACCCTTAAACCTGTTCTTGCCTTCGGCCAAAGGAGTTGTGATTTCCTTTGCCGAGCCCAGCCTAACTCGACACAGCGGACGCCGAGCATCAAAGGGCTCGAGCCGGTCGTCTGTGAGCCTTGCCGAACAGGAAAAATCTCAAGCAAGCTGGCTGTCGTGCGCGGCCTCCTCCAGATATGTATGTCGTACGGAAGTGTCATTTGACTGTCTAGGTTTTTGCTTTGTTTCAAGAATGATCGTTGCGCAGGGTTGGACATGTTGAAGCTGTTACACGAGCTCGACAAGAATTTTTATCGGGCTAGTGGCGGGCTAGGGGCTGCTTCTGGCTGAAGGCCCTGAAGGCCCATGCATTTTACATTTGGAGTGTGAGCATCTCGATGAGTTTGGAGCGAGTTAAAACCATATTTGCTTGCCCTGGTTAGCCAGCCCTGCTTGCAATGTTTTGGAGCCGTCATCCTTGAAGCAGTTCAGGTCACATGTGAGTACCCTTTTTTTGCTTCCTGACATAATAAGCTTCTTGACATGTGGCACGATACGCTCGGCCCTGGGTTTAGGTTTAGGGCCTGGTATGTTCAGCTTGAGAGCGGCTGCAGGGTTCGGAGCTTAGCATGCATGATCTATTCTAGGTTCCTGAGTAGTACCCTTTTGCCCTTTTTATTTTGTGGTCTCCTTATTAAAACCGAATATTAGGAAAAAGGGTACCCTTGTTATTTAGGGGTCACTCAGGAACCTAGTTATTCGATTTTGAGATGTCAAGGGTTTCCAGGGATTGGACGGGAGCTCGAGGCTCAAAGGCCTTTCAAGGGGCTATAGTATAGGGGGCCTTAATAATTAGAATAGGGTTTTGGGCCCATTATACTATAATTAGAATAAGGAACCCCGCAAAATAGTCTTGCTAATTATTTAGGCCCCTACATTAGGGCGGCCAGCTCTCTAGCCTCAGGAGTTACAGCATAGTTGCTGCTTCGGCATACTGGCTTTGAGGGCCCCCTGGATTTCCTTCTTTCCAAGCCTATACAGAGGGCGACGGGTCATAAGGTCATAAGTAGAGTAGAGTTATACAAGGAAGTTATAAGTTATAAGTTGTAGGTATCCAAATTGGGTTATGCACCGTTTACCTTGGATGTCAGGGGGGAGTGATCAGGATGAAGAAACACCCCCTGCAAAGCCCTTTCCAAACTGCAGAAAACTCTAAAACAGCTATAAGAATCCTACGTGTATCAAGAAAAAGTGTTAGCAAAAACCCATAAGAACCGAATAGCCCCCTCAGGACATCGAAGAGGCACCGGAGCTTTGGCATCCATTCCCAGCCAGCTCGAAGTCTCCAAAGACCAACCCTATCCCGGCTTTGAAGAGAGCCGAGTCAGAGAGGGGCCCTTGGAACTGTGAAGGTTGCCGTGAACTCCGGTTGAGGGTTGAGGGTGCCAGCTGATTGGCAGAGTCCGGGTTCAAAAAACGACGCCAGAGACTCTACTTTATGTTAGGGTTTGGTAAGGGTTGTCTTTGGATTTGCTTTGGGGTCAGGTAGGTTGTCGTGAAGAGTTACCTTTGGGTTCACTCGGGTTTCGGGTTTTGTTTAGGCTTAGTTTGGGGTAGAGGCCAGGCAGGCCCCTTGGGAAAGAAAGGGTTTACGGTTTAGAGGTAGGGCTGGGGCTAGCTTCAGTAGTTCAGAAGCTTTATTGGCATGCCCTGTAAGGGTTTTTTGTTCCACGGGGCTCGCTAAAAGTGCCTTAGATCTGGGACTTAGTATTGAACTACATTGTGTCTTTTTGTTGAGCTTTACGGCATGGTTTAATACCAGACAGTTATTAGCTATTAACTTTCATGGTATTCACTAACTTGTACCCATATCTGATCCTTCAAGCAGGGCTTTCATTTCACCTTGGGTTGGGTAGGGTGCTGTTTGGGGAGTCGGTTTAGGTTCAGTCTGACGAGAGTGTGGAAAGCTTCAGAAGTGGCATATTGTTGAAACATTTATCTTAGATATTGGATGTTTTTTAACCTATGCTATATAGTATCTGTTATGTATCATATGTTCTACATTCGACTTCCGCAGTCTTCAAACTTGGGCTGCGTTTCATGGTCGGCGTGTAGCTCTAAGTTGCGATGCACTTTCAGCAATGGACCATGGGGCCCTTCCACAGACTGTTCCTGCCAACGTCACTGGAAGTGATCCGCGAGTTGGCACTTTCCGCAGCTTCTGGCCATTACTTGGAGGTTCATGGGTAGTTCTAAGTAGGGTTATAAGTAGGGTAACTGTAGTTATAACTTATATTAGGGGACTTATACCTCCATTTATAACTACCCATGAACCTCCAAGTATCTCCTTTATCAATGCCCGGCTTTTTCCCAGACTCTTCCAACCGCCTCAGGTCGTCACCTTCCCAAAGTCTGCACACTGGCTCTTGAGGATTGAGGACTCAGCCCCTGTTGATGATGGTTTTCCTTTTCAAAACGGAGGTCCAGGCGCGTCTAGGTCCCAGAGCCCGGAACCCCTTAGCGTCAAGCTTCAGTGCCCCCTGCACCTCCTCAGCCCTATGTATTAAGGCATGTAGGGGCCGGCCATGCCTTGCGATTTGAGTTTCATAACCCGAGTGTCTAGCAGGCTTGCAAGAGGACGCAGGGAACGCAAGA